GTACTGTGGACGACATCCCGGTACTGTGGACGGCATCCCAGTACTGTGGAGGGCATCCCGGTACTGTGGACGGCATCCCAGTACTGTGGAGGGCATCCCAGTACTGTGGACGGCATCCCGGTACTGTGGACGACATCCCGGTACTGTGGACGGCATCCCAGTACTGTGGACGACATCCCGGTACTGTGGACGACATCCCGGTACTGTGGACGGCATCCCGGTACTGTGGACGGCATCCCGGTACTGTGGACGACATCCCGGTACTGTGGACGGCATCCCAGTACTGTGGAGGGCATCCCGGTACTGTGGACGGCATCCCAGTACTGTGGACGGCATCCCAGTACTGTGGAGGGCATCCCGGTACTGTGGACGGCATCCCAGTACTGTGGACGGCATCCCGGTACTGTGGACGGCATCCCAGTACTGTGGAGAGCATCCCAGTACTGTGGACGGCATCCCGGTACTGTGGAGGGCATCCCAGTACTGTGGACGGCATCCCGGTACTGTGGACGACATCCCGGTACTGTGGACGACATCCCGGTACTGTGGACGGCATCCCGGTACTTTGGACGGCATCCCGGTACTGTGGACGACATCCCGGTACTGTGGACGGCATCCCAGTACTGTGGAGGGCATCCCGGTACTGTGGACGGCATCCCAGTACTGTGGACGGCATCCCAGTCCACATCCCAGTACTGTGGAGGGCATCCCGGTACTGTGGACGGCATCCCAGTACTGTGGACGGCATCCCAGTACTGTGGAGGGCATCCCAGTACTGTGGAGGGCATCCCGGTACTGTGGACGGCATCCCAGTACTGTGGAGGGCATCCCGGTACTGTGGAGGGCATCCCAGTACTGTGGAGGGCATCCCGGTACTGTGGACGGCATCCCAGTACTGTGGAGGGCATCCCAGTACTGTGGAGGGCATCCCGGTACTGTGGAGGGCATCCCAGTACTGTGGAGGGCATCCCAGTACTGTGGAGGGCATCCCGGTACTGTGGAGGGCATCCCAGTACTGTGGAGGGCATCCCAGTACTGTGGAGGGCATCCCGGTACTGTGGAGGGCATCCCAGTACTGTGGAGGGCATCCCGGTACTGTGGACGGCATCCCAGTACTGTGGAGGGCATCCCAGTACTGTGGAGGGCATCCCGGTACTGTGGAGGGCATCCCGGTACTGTGGAGGGCATCCCGGTACTGTGGAGGGCATCCCAGTACTGTGGAGGGCATCCCAGTACTGTGGAGGGCATCCCAGTACTGTGGAGGGCATCCCAGTACTGTGGAGGGCATCCCAGTACTGTGGAGGGCATCCCGGTACTGTGGAGGGCATCCCGGTACTGTGGAGAGCATCCCGGTACTGTGGAGGGCATCCCAGTACTGTGGAGAGCATCCCAGTACTGTGGACGGCATCCCGGTACTGTGGACGACATCCCGGTACTGTGGACGGCATCCCAGTACTGTGGAGAGCATCCCAGTACTGTGGACGGCATCCCGGTACTGTGGAGGGCATCCCGGTACTGTGAAGAGCATCCCAGTACTGTGGACGGCATCCCGGTACTGTGGACGACATCCCGGTACTGTGGACGGCATCCCAGTACTGTGGAGAGCATCCCAGTACTGTGGACGGCATCCCGGTACTGTGGACGACATCCCGGTACTGTGGACGGCATCCCAGTACTGTGGAGAGCATCCCAGTACTGTGGACGGCATCCCGGTACTGTGGACGACATCCCGGTACTGTGGACGGCATCCCAGTACTGTGGAGGGCATCCCGGTACTGTGGACGGCATCCCAGTACTCTGGAGGGCATCCCAGTACTGTGGACGGCATCCCGGTACTGTGGACGACATCCCGGTACTGTGGACGGCATCCCAGTACTGTGGACGACATCCCGGTACTGTGGACGACATCCCGGTACTGTGGACGGCATCCCGGTACTGTGGACGGCATCCCGGTACTGTGGACGACATCCCGGTACTGTGGACGGCATCCCAGTACTGTGGAGGGCATCCCGGTACTGTGGACGGCATCCCAGTACTGTGGACGGCATCCCAGTACTGTGGAGGGCATCCCGGTACTGTGGACGGCATCCCAGTACTGTGGAGGGCATCCCGGTACTGTGGACGGCATCCCAGTACTGTGGAGAGCATCCCAGTACTGTGGACGGCATCCCGGTACTGTGGAGGGCATCCCAGTACTGTGGACGGCATCCCGGTACTGTGGACGACATCCCGGTACTGTGGACGACATCCCGGTACTGTGGACGGCATCCCGGTACTGTGGACGGCATCCCGGTACTGTGGACGACATCCCGGTACTGTGGACGGCATCCCAGTACTGTGGAGGGCATCCCGGTACTGTGGACGGCATCCCAGTACTGTGGACGGCATCCCAGTCCACATCCCAGTACTGTGGAGGGCATCCCGGTACTGTGGACGGCATCCCAGTACTGTGGACGGCATCCCAGTACTGTGGAGGGCATCCCAGTACTGTGGAGGGCATCCCGGTACTGTGGACGGCATCCCAGTACTGTGGAGGGCATCCCGGTACTGTGGAGGGCATCCCAGTACTGTGGAGGGCATCCCGGTACTGTGGACGGCATCCCAGTACTGTGGAGGGCATCCCAGTACTGTGGAGGGCATCCCAGTACTGTGGAGGGCATCCCGGTACTGTGGAGGGCATCCCGGTACTGTGGAGGGCATCCCAGTACTGTGGAGGGCATCCCAGTACTGTGGAGGGCATCCCAGTACTGTGGAGGGCATCCCAGTACTGTGGAGGGCATCCCAGTACTGTGGAGGGCATCCCAGTACTGTGGAGGGCATCCCGGTACTGTGGAGGGCATCCCGGTACTGTGGAGAGCATCCCGGTACTGTGGAGGGCATCCCAGTACTGTGGAGAGCATCCCAGTACTGTGGACGGCATCCCGGTACTGTGGACGACATCCCGGTACTGTGGACGGCATCCCAGTACTGTGGAGAGCATCCCAGTACTGTGGACGGCATCCCGGTACTGTGGAGGGCATCCCGGTACTGTGAAGAGCATCCCAGTACTGTGGACGGCATCCCGGTACTGTGGACGACATCCCGGTACTGTGGACGGCATCCCAGTACTGTGGAGAGCATCCCAGTACTGTGGACGGCATCCCGGTACTGTGGACGACATCCCGGTACTGTGGACGGCATCCCAGTACTGTGGAGAGCATCCCAGTACTGTGGACGGCATCCCGGTACTGTGGACGACATCCCGGTACTGTGGACGGCATCCCAGTACTGTGGAGGGCATCCCGGTACTGTGGACGGCATCCCAGTACTGTGGAGGGCATCCCAGTACTGTGGACGGCATCCCGGTACTGTGGACGACATCCCGGTACTGTGGACGGCATCCCAGTACTGTGGACGACATCCCGGTACTGTGGACGACATCCCGGTACTGTGGACGGCATCCCGGTACTGTGGACGGCATCCCGGTACTGTGGACGACATCCCGGTACTGTGGACGGCATCCCAGTACTGTGGAGGGCATCCCGGTACTGTGGACGGCATCCCAGTACTGTGGACGGCATCCCAGTACTGTGGAGGGCATCCCGGTACTGTGGACGGCATCCCAGTACTGTGGAGGGCATCCCGGTACTGTGGACGGCATCCCAGTACTGTGGAGAGCATCCCAGTACTGTGGACGGCATCCCGGTACTGTGGAGGGCATCCCAGTACTGTGGACGGCATCCCGGTACTGTGGACGACATCCCGGTACTGTGGACGACATCCCGGTACTGTGGACGGCATCCCGGTACTGTGGACGGCATCCCGGTACTGTGGACGTCATCCCGGTACTGTGGACGGCATCCCAGTACTGTGGAGGGCATCCCGGTACTGTGGACGGCATCCCAGTACTGTGGACGGCATCCCAGTCCACATCCCAGTACTGTGGAGGGCATCCCGGTACTGTGGACGGCATCCCAGTACTGTGGAAGGCATCCCAGTACTGTGGAGGGCATCCCAGTACTGTGGAGGGCATCCCGGTACTGTGGACGGCATCCCAGTACTGTGGAGGGCATCCCGGTACTGTGGAGGGCATCCCGGTACCGTGGACGGCATCCCGGTACTGTGGAGGGCATCCCGGTACTGTGGAGGGCATCCCGGTACTGTGGAGGGCATCCCGGTACTGTGGAAGGCATCCCGGTACTGTGGAAGGCATCCCAGTACTGTGGACGGCATCCCGGTGCTGTGGAGGGCATCCCGGTACCGTGGACGGCATCCCAGTACTGTGGACGGCATCCCAGTACTGTGGACGGCATCCCGGTACTGTGGACGGCATCCCGGTACCGTGGAGGGCATCCCGGTACTGTGGACGGCATCCCGGTACCGTGGAGGGCATCCCAGTACTGTGGACGGCATCCCGGTACCGTGGAGGGCATCCCGGTACTGTGGACGGCATCCCGGTACTGTGGACGGCATCCCAGTACTGTGGACGGCATCCCGGTACTGTGGACGGCATCCCGGTACTGTGGAGGGCATCCCGGTACCGTGGACGGCATCCCGGTACCGTGGACGGCATCCCAGTACTGTGGAGGGCATCCCGGTACTGTGGAGGGCATCCCGGTACTGTGGAAGGCATCCCAGTACTGTGGAGGGCATCCCAGTACTGTGGACGGCATCCCGGTGCTGTGGAGGGCATCCCGGTACCGTGGACGGCATCCCAGTACTGTGGACGGCATCCCAGTACTGTGGACGGCATCCCGGTACTGTGGACGGCATCCCGGTACCGTGGAGGGCATCCCGGTACTGTGGACGGCATCCCGGTACTGTGGACGGCATCCCAGTACTGTGGACGGCATCCCGGTACTGTGGACGGCATCCCGGTACTGTGGAGGGCATCCCGGTACCGTGGACGGCATCCCGGTACCGTGGACGGCATCCCAGTACTGTGGAGGGCATCCCGGTACCGTGGACGGCATCCCGGTACTGTCGAGGGCATCCCAGTACTGTGGAGGGCATCCCAGTACTGTGTAGGGCATCCCGGCACCGTGGAGGGCATCCCGGCACCGTGGAGGGCATCCCGGCACCGTGGAGGGCACGCCGGCACCGTGGAGGGCACGCCGGCACCGTGGAGGGCACGCCGGCACCGTGGAGGGCACGCCGGCACCGTGGAGGGCACGCCGGCACCGTGGAGGGCACGCCGGCACCGTGGAGGGCACGCCGGCACCGTGGAGGGCACGCCGGCACCGTGGAGGGCACGCCGGCACCGTGGAGGGCACGCCGGCACCGTGGAGGGCACGCCGGCACCGTGGAGGGCACGCCGGTACCGTGGAGGGCACCCCGGCACCGTGGAGGGCACCCCGGCACCGTGGAGGGCACCCCGGCACCGTGGAGGGCACGCCGGCACCGTGGAGGGCACGCCGGCACCGTGGAGGGCATCCCGGCACCGTGGAGGGCATCCCGGCACCGTGGAGGGCACGCCGGCACCGTGGAGGGCACGCCGGCACCGTGGAGGGCACGCCGGCACCGTGGAGGGCACGCCGGCACCGTGGAGGGCACGCCGGCACCGTGGAGGGCACGCCGGCACCGTGGAGGGCACGCCGGCACCGTGGAGGGCACGCCGGCACCGTGGAGGGCACGCCGGTACCGTGGAGGGCACGCCGGCACCGTGGAGGGCACGCCGGCACCGTGGAGGGCACCCCGGCACCGTGGAGGGCACGCTAACACCTAGGACAACATCCTAGCATCTAGCACAGCGCCCAGCAACCCCGGGTTGCTGAACAAGGAACATCTTCCTCTGACCTCTTGCGACCATCCTCTCACGCCATCGGTATATTCAGACACAATATAAATTATTAAAATTAAACTACTCAAGTTTGTTGAGTCCGAAGTGGAGACGATGAGTTACAGTTGTCTGGTGAGTCGTCCTTCAGGGGGGGGGGGTGCAATGTTGCTGGGTAGCGCCGTGGGGGCTCGCTGGAAGGGGGGGTGCAATGTTGCTGGGTAGCGCCGTGGGGGCTCGCTGGAAGGGGGGTACAAAATCAGATCGAACCCCCACCAGCATGTGAAGATGGAGGCTGGGGGGATTGACCGCGGCTTTGAAACCCTTCTGTGGCCATCCTTTTGCAACCGAATCTTCTTTGGGGCGGCATCGAGAACCAGAGAGGGGAGGGAGGGAGGGAGGGAGGGAGGGAGAGAAGGAGGGAGGGAGAGAAGGAGGGAGGGAGAGAAGGAGGGAGGGAGAGAGGGAGGGAGAGAGAGAGAGAGGGAGAGTGTTGCAGGGGACGTCTCTGAAACGAAGAAGTGGTAGAAGAAGTGAAACGCAGCGTTGAGAGGCAGGGAGTTGGTGTAGGTAGCAATGAGAGGGAACAATTGAGAGGTGTGGGGAGGGCTGTGAAGGGGAGAGGGAGGTAGGGAAGTAAATAGAAAGCTGCGGATAAGAAATGAGTGTGAGAGGGAAGACGAAAAGAGAGAGAGCGGCTGGAATGGACGGATGGTTGGAGAGACGGATTTTAACAAGAGAAGGAAAGCAGGGAGACAGAAAAGATAACCAGAGGCAAAGAACGTAAGAGAGAGTAGAAGGAAAACCAACAGGCGAGTTAGTAATCGTGAGGAGGACACACATGCAAGGAGGAAGGCAAGAGAGAGGAGGGAGGGAGGGAGGGAGGGAGGGAGGGAGAGAGAGTGTGTGTGTGTGTGTGTGTGTGTGTGAGAGAGTGTGACGGATAGTCACAGAAGTGGGAATACTTCCTGTGACATCACAAGACTGGGGAGACATCACCCGTCACGTAGGGAGGGAGGCGGTGGCTAGGCTTCAGGACGTGCAGAAATGAGAGGTGACTCAGGCTACGCGGCGTTAGTTTAAGGAATCGTGGTTAAATAATATTGTTCCTTCCGTTGAATTGCGACCTGTTTGGTCTCATTGGCTGTTCGTAATTTTAAAGCGTGATCTCGTTAGCTGTTCCAGACATTCTTAACTCCACAGAGATGTCTCGCTAGTTGTTCCAGACTTTATTAACATGAGTTATGTTAAAAACATTTTCTGGACAGACTTTATGATTTGCTGTGGTCCTTTTTTTCAGGGATATTCCTGCGCGGGCCCTAAGCCTCTGGCTGGCCCACTAAGTGTTGCTTGTTTCTGTTTTACTTGGGCGGAGTATGAGTATTTATGACTCGTATGGTCGCTTCAGTAAGATTTTGCCCTATGTGTTTAACAACTTCTTCTCTGTTGAATCTAAGTTGAAATCTTAATGGGTTTGTAACTGTGCACTGTTAGATAATGTTCCAGTGGTCTGTCGGGCATTTCTCCACAGTGTTGACATTTTGCTATGGTCCTGATTGGCAGATGATGTATTTCTGATTCCTACTTCATAGGTCTTTGTGAGTGACTTGTGAAGTAATGCTTGGCCAAGATAGTTTTTTTTTTCCACATGGTGTCTCGGTGCACTTCAGTCCTCATGTGTCGTGAGTCTAGGAGTGACTCACCACTCACGAGCCTCACACATCATCCCCGTTCTGACCCAGCGGTGCCCAAGCCTACCATTACCCAGCCCCCATGTCTGTAAAATATTACACCCACGCCAAGCTCATATTTTCCCCTCAAGGGGGGAGGGGGTGTTTCTGGTCTGGTAACACTGTTTCCTCGCTGCCACGGCATCGTGGGGTATATAAAGGCCTATGTAGGCCTACCTAAATAATACTAATATCGGTGTTAAGTAATGTATGTCACCTGGTAGATGTGCTGTACCTAGTAGTTGAAGTTATCTCCTCGTATTTCAACCGCGTGCAATTCATGGTAGTTGTGGATTGGGTGAAGATATTGATCACACAGCTCGGTGTTCAGAGACACCTCGCATTGCCAGCCTTGTGCGCACCCTGGACGTGCCGTTGCCCCCCGCCACAAGAGGCAATACATGTTCCCTCACTTGGCCTTGTAGCCTAGTCTAAGCAATAGGTAAACTTAAAATCACTCTCGGGAGGCGTGTGTGTGTGTGCTAAAGCACACGATTTCATCTCTTGGATCTCCTCTGCCCCCCGAGAGGCGAGGGTCGCAACCGGCTTTGATGTTGGGATGTGCTTCGGTGGTCATGATGGAAGTGTTAGCAAGAGGGATGGTTGGCCAGCTCCCTCGCCGCTAGCAACACTTTCCTTCCCTACAGCCCCTCGCCTGCCCTCTCCTTGCCACCGCCTCACAAAAACCTGTGAGAGGCGTTGTAATGAATGGTCTCCCTCCTTCCCCCACCCTTCTCTTTCCCTCTCGCCGGCTGCGCCCCGCACCGCCAGGTACCTGGGACCTCGCCCGAACACAGTCCTGCACGGAAAAAATATTGCATGGTCGTTTGCAAACTCGTGTGCAACATAATGCGAGGACGCGTGGTGTGTTGCTTCCAGCAAGGGCACGTTGCAGCGCGTGCTCCTAAGTCCCCCCCCCTTCTTTTTTTCTGGAGCAGGAACCGGAGACCCGCGCGTGCTTGATTGAATTGCAAGATTGCAAAGCTGCTTGTAGGGAAGGAAAAAAGGCTAGATGGAGGGGTTGGGGTATAGTGTAATAGGTTCTGACTCGTTGGCCCGCTGAATGTTCTCAATGCATCGAACAAGAGACCTTCAGGGACAGCAGGCGAGAAATAGACAAATTCAGCTTTACCCCAATATTTAACATTTCTTAACAAAAAAATCTTCGAGTTCGAGATTGCAAACGTTGCAAATATTTAAGGGGGGACTCCTCGTCCGTGGTGGTGTTCGGAGCTCCCCCCTTTCCCCTGCACCCTTCTCCCTCCATCCCCCTTTGGGCTTACTAGGCTGTACGCAGCCTTCGTATAGTCGGAACTCAGCATGTGTGTCTCCTGCTCTTCTGGCGCCTACGTTCTTGCTTCTGTTTCCTCCCCGTCTCCTTCATTTTGGTTTACTCAGCTTAAATGACTACTTACGTTTTCCTTCGTTTGAGGTGTTTCCGAGATAGTAACAAAAAATCGATCAATAACACTTTCATTGAAATATGTTAAATTTGTTTAAAAGTATAAAACAATGATTACAAAAGCACTGATCCAAGTATGCGGAAAAAACACATTTGAAGAAATAGAGAATGCTGAACGCGTTTTCGGCTCATTTCGCCTTCATCAGAGAAAGATAGTGATCATGGAGACTATCTTGCTCTGATGAAAGCGAACGCATTCAGCATTCTCTATTTCTTCAAATGTGGTTTTTCCGCATATATATTTTATGTATATATGTACATAAAAGAATGGATTGAACATGATAATGATATACTAGATTATAAGGGAAATTCGCCATGTTAACAGAGTGAATATTAAAATTGAAGGACAGGCGGTCAATGGAGCACATATGGAAACTTAGACACAAACAAGTCAGTTGTTAAACTTCTGACTACAAAATTTGAAACGTAGACTTAATGTAATGGAAAAGAATTGTTAATACGGTAAATTTAACTATTAATGACTTTATAGGCGGAGCTTAGGAGTTGGCGGTCAACCCTATTAAAAACATCTAGATAAGTGAAAATATAGTGTTATTCTCAGGGTAATTAATTCTAGATTAATACAATATCTCATCACACCGGTCAGAAACGAATTTTGGATCAGAGCATCACACGGCTGTCCTAGTGAGGATTAAAATCCTACTTAGTTTCCCTTCCCAGTGGATAAAATATTAAGTAACGTAAAATCAACTAAAGATTCAATGTTAAATCAGTGTCGTCGGTTCGTACTGCCTTTATCATTCTTCTGGAAAGTTTGCACACTGTTTTCTTATCAAGTGTCCTGCCTAGTTGTTTATAGTATACTTTTGTAAGTAAATCACCGTGACAATTTGTACATTTTAAGTTTGTATTATCATTAATTACGACAAACTGCGGGGCATATCACTAGGCTATGACTCGGGACGAAGCCTATGGATTGGCGACATATTAATTAAATACAGTATTACATAACAATAAATACACGTAGATAATTAAATCGTGTGAAACATAAACACAGTAGCGAATACACGCGAAGAAAAGAGTTTACTCTAAATCTTATCACACAATGTAAACATTTCAATATGGTGGATACTACTTAGCGTAAATGGTCATTATTTCTCACCGCTCACTAATCAGGTGTAGGTCACGACCATGGGAATGGTACCTCAATATAGATAAGTACAACATAATGGGTCACGAAGGCACACTTTTAAATTAATAAACTTTTACTATAATATTTAAATGACTATAATACAGTATAACTGAGAGATTATACTACAAGTTATAGCAAAGCGCTGATAAATTGAGTTTGCAATTATAGTACAAGATGAAACCCGAAGCAGGCAGGGGCTAATCTCAAATATAATTTAATATTCTGTTGCTAGGCCTCGAAATAGGGAAACTAGGATTTAAACCAAAATGTTATTTGGACTAAATAGAGGGCGTGTGAACCCTGAATACAAGATGAGCTTAAAAATGTTCTAGCACATGTCGGAGAAGTGTATCCATTCTTGTGATTGGATCAGGATCTATATCACTGATATCCCAGCCAATCAAATGATGCCAAGCTGTCACTCTCGACTGGATGATTCAGTCATGTGATCTTACTATGGAACATTCTAGAAGGTTCTGTGAACAAAAATTTAGCCCAAATAATTGTAAATGAAATAAAACAAATGCTATCGCAGCCTTAATATAATCGAAGTCATATTTGTGTAGCTCGAGATGGTAGGCTGTACGCCGTAGTGAGTAATGGAGATCACGCGGCTTCAAAAAATATAGAAATTTGTTCATATACAATGGAATTTTTTCATGGAACTTTTTCTAATTAATGATAAGCTAACAATTTTTTAGATGTGTATATAATGAATAGAAGATAAAAAGTAGCCATTTCCTGTAACAATTAAAAGCAGTAGAGCCGGGCAGCAGAGTAAAAAAGCATGAAACTGCAGCCTACTAAAGTTTTGATAAAAAGATTTAATGTATTATACAGGCAGTAATAGGCTTTAACGATGTTACTGCAGACAAACACAAGGATAGATCAGGAAAACAGATTATTGGCCTAGATGTAGATACAACAATAACAGTTTTATTGATCGTTGTTGAGAAAAGGGTTATCCTTCGGTATTCGTATTAAGATGGATGCAAGACAGGGCGTACACCTGCGTGTGACAATCTTCAAGAGCAAGAACGGTCGGCCAAAGGTAGGCTGGGACAGGGCCAGACACCAGACCTGTCTTCGTCTTGGTGAAGGGGGTGAGGGGAGAGAGGGAGGGAACCTGTTCGCCTGGAGAACCACCAAGGGGAAATGAGGTTTGGTGTTATCAGCTCGTGCGACGCCTCTCACTGTCTTGTTGGAGTCTATTCTGAGAGCGATTCTAGTTCGTTGGTATATATTTGTGTGTCATAAGACTTTGACCAAAATAGGATCTTTCTCTCTATTAGTCTCATGGTATACCAGCCTTACTAGTGGATAGTTCCGTAATAAACAGCAGGGCCTACATCCTAGTTTCTGTGTGCTTTACTTGTAGTCCCTTTTAGCTTTACCTTTCCCTTGCCATCTTCACCTTGTTTACATCTCCACAACCTCCATCACCTTCACTATTGTGTCTTGGGTCTGTATCTAAATACCATAGCCTCATATTGGCTAAATTACATAGTGCTCCATGGGCCTGAATTAAGAAAATCTCAGCTTTTCATGTATCCAACATGTATTTTCATGTATTACGGAACTGTCCACTAGAAAGCCTGGTATAACATGAGACTAAAATAAAGACAAAGAGAAAGATCCTTTATCACAATTGTGTAAGAAAGGCACGAAAGAACGCCTTCAGTCTTCATCAAACCAGGAATCCTACCTCACATACCCTTTCCACCTAATCTAACCATTAGTACAACGATGGTGTGATACCTAATAAGTACACGACTAGTGAGGTACCAAATGACCATTAGTACTGATGGTAATGGTTTACAATTATGAAGCCTTGCAGTTTTGTAGTGATGGTGCTATTTCTGTGTTGCTAGTGGTAGAGTCTATGTAACATCGTCAACCATGCTGGCATAGCTTGAGCAGATTCAGTACCAGTACGAGGTAGCATGACGCACCACGTTAGGCATTTACTCCCTATGCTGGCGTTGTATTTTCAAAACAAAAAGAAATTATTAATAAGTGTAAAATAAAATCTATTGAGTAGACAAACCAGCCGAATATATTATAAATATTGCTAAGAGTAGCTGTTTCCTGGGAAAAACTTTTGCTACTAGCTCGTCCTTATGTAATTTCTATAAGAAATAACAAATGAAACTATCGGAATAACTTGACGAAAGAGCTTTTGGATAGCCTGAACCTTCAGAATTTATTTTCGCGCGCGCTTGCGTACACCCCCCCCCCCCCACACACACACACCACATACACACACACACACACCTGCGTCATCCTGAGCGCCTAGGGGCCACACTATTACCTTTGTGTGGCCCTCGGTAGGAGGGCCACACAAAGAGCTCTCAGTAGGCCTGCCTGCAGGAGCTGTCAGTAGGCCTACTGAGAGCTCTTGGAGGCTTCACCCGTAACCTCTGCATGGGTCAGCCTACTGAGCTGATGCCCACACCAGTATCTCTAAAAGTCGGGCTACTGGGCTCCGGCAGACCCATGCATGGCTAGGTTTACGCAGCTTCTGAACGTTGCAAAAGAATGAGAAGGCCTGAGCGCGTGAGTAGGCCTATTGCAGCCCCCTCCCGTGCCGTTGGACACAGGCTTGCACGTTGCCAAACGCGCGTGTGTGTGTGTGTGTTTTATTGCAGGCGGAGAAGGGAGCGTGTTTTTTTTTTTAGAGAGAGATGGATGATGAGTTTGCGGGGTGGGGGGAAGGGGGGGGGGAGAAATGAGTTAAAGGGGGGGTGTAGGATGGAAGGGGGGGGGATGTAAAGAAGCAGGAGGGGTTGGGGAAGGAGAAGGAAGGGGTGCGTGACAGAGGTAGCGACGCTATGCCTTCCATTGATATGGTAATGGGAGAGACGACCCCTCGCCTGCAATGGCTAGTATCCCTATACCTACCACCCCCCACACCCCACCCCTATCCCGGCTCGAACCCTCTGCTCAACGCCTTTTACCTCCCTCTTCCATGCTACAACAACCCCCCCCCCCTCCCACCCCACCTTCCACCCCCCCCCCTTTTCCCATTCCCGTGCACACCCGTCCCATGTGAGGGGGGAGATGCAGCCTCCGATTCTGCCAGCATCCTCTAGCATCTCAACACTAGAAGTCAGAGATCAGATCTGGAACCATAGTGTGATAGTGTGTTACCAAGTCTAGTTTGATTCTCCGTCGAGATATTAAACATAATATAAATTATTATATATTTTGGTTTAGTATTATTTATAGCAAAAACAATTGATTTTAATTTCATACAGGTTTGGAATATACACTAAAAGGCACATATATAACAGAGCAGGTATACAAATTCAGGTATATATATATACCAGCTTTTTAAATTTCAGATTGATAAACGAGCTTTATTTTGAATTGACATTGCAAGCAAAAAGATCAATTCATTCTTATCTTCAATTTTAATATAATTTCTTTGTCTCCTGTTATGTATAATTTGGAAATGAAATGAGTTTATTGAAATCTAGACACAAAGGAATGACAACTCAAGGTATTTTACCATGTTCATATATAAATTCGTGTTCATATATAAATTTACAATCGCAACAAATCGTACAATACAACATGTTCATTGTATATTTACAATCATCACGAATAACTATACAATACGATGCGTTAGTAAAGTATGCATGCAACAGGCCTACAATGTATGCAACACATAACCAACGCTTCCAACAAGCCTACTACATAGCCAAATTTAATACACGAAATCCGTATGGCAGAAGTTACGAACATAGCAGTAGCAAGATGGTAATTCCAGCAGGTATTATGTATGTTAATTGGTCCATACCTGAATTTGGCACTGAGATGAATCTCTGTGTTGGTGAGAGAGAGAGAGAGATAGAGAGAGAGAGAGGCCTCCGGGAGCAAAGGGGTTGGGGGGGGGGGGTGCTGAGAATGTAGGATGAGAGAAAAATATCATTGTCGCTCACTAGTTGCCTCAAGCACTATGACTTTTTCCATCCCTCTTTCCTCTCTCCTTCCCTTTTCTTTCCCCTCCCTATCTCCCTCTTGTGACCCTCTATACTGAGCTCTGCATCCCGCAAAGTGCAAGTATGTTTATTGAGACAAGAAAGAAATACATATCGAAGGGATAGAGTAGCTTAGGCTACTTCTATCCCCCACCCCGCCAAAGCTCTCTGCCCAACTGTCTCTGCTGTATGACACTACTGCCGTCATACAGTATGCTTGAGGTGTATGTGTGTGTGTGTGAGTAGATACACACGTGCGTGCAAATCTGGATTTATATGCGTATTATGTATTTATGTATAATGTATATTTGTATTTATATTCTTAACTCGGGAGAGTTTGCAGGACTGGGCTTCAGCTCCTGGGCGACTCCTCTCTCCCCCCCTATTTAGTGCATCATACATCCTCACCTGGTCCTATTAGCTTTGGAAACTGTAGATATATACAGCTGGTTCCCCACCCTCCCTATTTAATGATCCACTTGCTAAGGGTCTTTCTAACCGTTGAACAAATCTAGGGAACGCGTTAGAAATTAGATAACTACTGTATTCTAACATTTTCTAGTGCCTTTCAACCTAACCTCTCTCTCTCTCTCTCTCTCTCTCTCTCTCTCTCTCTCTCTCTCTCTCTCTCTCTCTCTCTCTCTCTCTCTCTCTCTCTCTCTCTCTCTCCCCTTTCGTCAAGTGACGTTAGGTTTGTATCCCTCTGTTCTGGGTTTTTGTTTTCTCTCAAGTCTCCTTTCGTGAATTTGGAGGTTTGGGATCTATGCTGGCGCTGCATATTCCAGCACTGGTCACACGTATGTTGCAAACAGCTTTTTTGTTTTGTTTGTAAGCTGTCCTCATTTTTACCAGGTATGTGTATGGAGACTGCATGTGCCTCTAGTGATAGGTTCGGTTTAGGCCTATTGCCATCTCCTTGTACTTCAGGGAAAGTACAACCCTGAGAGGTTTCTCTCCTACATTATGTAGTGGTCATGTTGCCCCCCAACATAATGTGCTCCTGGGGTCTCTGGGGTATTTGGGGGGGTCTCGCTGGGGTATTTTGGGGTCCTCGATCTTCTAAATCGAGGACCCCCCAAATCTAGGATCTTTGGTCCTAGATTCATTCTAAAATCTAGAATGATTTTAGTTGTATTTATTTGTATGCAAGAAGGTACCATGGGTTACTGTTTCAGATCCTGGTGATAAATGTTGCAAACCCCTTAATTGGGACATTGTTGCAAACCCATTAATTTGTATATTGTTGTAAACCCATTCATTGGTACATTGTTGCAAACTCATTAATTTCGTGCATTGACGGGAACCCATTAATTGGTGCATTGTTGCAAACCCATTAATTGGTACATTGCTGCAAACTAATTCATTTCGTGCAATGTTGCGAACCTAGAAATTTGTGCATTGCTGCAAACCCATTAACACGAAAAGTGACACGACTGACCATTGATAGATTATAATTAAAATGTCTCTTGATCGGGATTTATCTCCTTTTACTAATAAAATGTAAAAATGTATAATAAATGTATAATGTATAATAAAATGTATAATATTTTTACTAATAAAAATGTTTCCTTGGTTTTAGTCTTCGACCCATTTAAATACTCCCCCATTTATTAATAGGCACGGGAGAATAAAGGAATATGCAGGGGGGGGGGCCTATAGGCCTATTTAAGGCAGGTGCGCCATACAGGTAATCTCTCTCTCTCCTACCTGTTGGTTCCGGGGATCCATGTTCCCGCCACCCGGTCTCTGTCCAAGTCTCCTGTCTCTCTATAGGTCTCCTGTCTATAGGTCTCCTGTTGCTTGCTTGCTAAGCAACAAGCAAGCAAGTACGTAATTATCAAAAGTAGACCCCCAACATTGCTTGCTAATCAGTTCCCAACAGATCTGAATCTCTACGATCCAGGTTTTTACCTATTTTCGAACCAGGGTTTTACCTATTTTCGAACCAGGGTTTTACCTATTTTCGAACCAGGTTTTTACCTATTTTCGAACCAGGTTTTTACCTATTTTCGAACCAGGTTTTTACCTATTTCCGAACCAGGTTTTTACCTATTTCCGAACCAGGTTTTTGCCTATTTCCGAACCAGGTTTTTACCTATTTCCTATTTACCTATTTTATTGATATTTCTTTTCACTCGTTATTTACTCTTTTTGTCATTCAACTTACACAGGAGCCTCGCGTGTGAGGGTTAAAGGCTCTCTGACTACTCTTCCATTCCATATTCTTACACTCTTCCATATTCTTGTGTAATACCTGTCATTCCCGTCAACCCAGGTGATGGGCACTACACCCCCCCCCCCAGTGCCCATCATCTGGGTAGGGTTAAAACTACGCTGTGTATGCATGCTCTCTCGCTTACACATATTGGGATGTGCGTGTGCGTGTGTGTGTGTGTGTGTGTGTGTGTGTGTGTGTGTGTGTGTGTGTGTGTGTGTGTCAGGGGGTGAGGCAGACTGTGCCACACGCTGGGCCTTAGGGAGCCAGAAATTAGCGCCATCTTGCAGT